ATAAGCATCTTTCGTGTTGCATTGCATGTGTTCGAATCAGACGTTAATTCAAACATAAGGAAAATGGGATATTTCATACTTAAAAGTGATGAAATGTGTCACTTTCCTTGGTCACCATCACCCTTGATCATGCATGATAGGTTGGTGGTCTTGTTTAGTCTTGTTTTGCACTCATTAAACTTGTACAAACTTGGTTCTTTAGCCATCGTGTATGGAAATTACTTGATTGGTGGTTTGAGAGCCAAGAGTTTCACTCCTTTGAGTTTGTTTGAGGATAAGGTGTGTAAACAATACACACAAACCTGTGAGAATACACTGCTTTGCTTTGTCTGCTCTCTGTTGTAGCAAAAAGAGAAGTTCATGCGATTAGTGGTCGACCGGCCACCACCAGTAGCCGACCGGCCACCATTGGTAGCTGACAGGCCCCCTGTCAACCACCAATGAAATTTGCACAGTGTGTTCCTGAGGTGGAACAGAGGTATTCTGGAAGTTGGCATAATTTTCGGTGTTCAAATGTGCAAACAGAGGCTCGCAGCAGCAAAATGGTGGCTTTTTCAGGTGAAGGAATCGAGCATGCATGCATCTCTCATTTCCCGAGGCCATTTAGTTAACTTGTCTAGTTAGTTAGTTGTTTAATACGTGTTGTAATTAATTAGTTGTAGCTAATTAAGAGCTGTAAATAATTAGTTAGTTTAACTAGTTATTCAATTTTGTTTTGTAATAATTAGCTTAGCTCAATTAGCATAGCTAGTTGGTTAGCTTCTATTCATTTGGACCCTCCTTCACAAGGACATAATGTTGTAATTAGTGTGCATGCCTGTGTGTATGTCTTCCAACCCCACATCTTTCTCCTATTTATTTAATTGCTTTCGATGGTTAGATTAGGGACATGTTTCAATTAGCATATCGCATGCTTGCATCCATTCATCTTGTTTTGCATGCATCTAGGCTTGGCACATCATTCAAACTGCATTACACTTTCAATACTTCTTTGAATACGTGTTTAATCGCATGTTATCAAATTAATTCATATGCCATATTAGTAGCTGAGCCTATTAATTGCATATTGCATGTGTTGCATTAGACATCTTGTATAGTTAGGATCATGCATCTTTCTAACTAGCTTTTGTTTTGGTTCGGAGTACTCAGTAAGTTTTATGCTTTAGCATACTTGCATGAGTGTGATTTCCATATTGCCATGATTAGCATGCTTGTCGTGAGGCTATGTGCATAAATGCTAAACTGTTTAAGTGCCTGTGGATGAAGGCTTGTTGTTTGAATTTGAACGATTCAACGAATGTAAGTTTTAAGCCCACTTTGTTGTGGCAAGTTTGCATTTTTAAGCCCACTTAAAGTGGCAAACTCAAACTATTTTTGCAAACAAACATGAGTTGAATTGTTCCAAGTCTTACAAACTACTCTATACTTGCTTGTGTGCATCACATAGTAATGTTAGCTAATAACCAGAACAAGAACACATAATATTTATAAAAAATCATATCATGATTAGTAGTGGTTGATCTTTGATCAGGCAAGCAGGGGTGCTCATTTCAGGACCTTCCCTTCTCGTACCCAAGTTCCCGAGTCAAGACAACTTTGGTGATGATGGACACGTGGCCTTTGGCACGAGTTAGGGTTTCCTAAATTTTTCAAAAAATAAAAAATTTAGGTGGCGACTCTATATCTGGCAAAGCAGTTCAATTTTGGCATTATTTGATTTAAAATCGATTTTCCAAAAAGGTTTGCCGGATTTGGACTATTTGATGTTTATCAGTTTCACATTGCACTTGTGAGACTAGATTCAGAACCACGAGAGTCCGAACTATGAGGCCTTCTTTTCAAACATTTCCGAAAGGCGGGGCGCGGAAAAAGGCGAGTCCATAAACCCAAGTCACCATTACTCTTAAATAATACCTACATTAATGTTCTTCAAGGTCTCAAATTACCCAAGATATGTGTTCAAATTGAAACTTAATTAAATGTCACTTTGAGATAAAATAAAATTTTAAACAAGTTTTTCCAATCTATTCGCTAACTTTGAAATTTAAAAACCCACTCCATGTTGTTCGAAAAATTCCAAAATCCTTTAGATACTCAAATACATTCTAAGTTTCAAACCCAATTGATTTTACTCAATTTGCTTGTCAAAATAATTATTTAAAATTAATTATGTCTCAACAGGTCACTTTTTACAGCACTTTAAAGAAATTGATGGTTCTCTTAACACTACAGGAAAATTTGCCTTTACCAGCGTTTAAAAAACACTGCTATAAGTGGCAGATTCAGGCCAAATTGTACATCACTGAGGTTGATAATTAGGATCTCTTAACCCTACTTGCCCGTCAAATAATATATTTTATCCATGTTTAATGTCAATCAGGTTGGACACAATAGGAGCATAAAATAAGCAAAAATACATAAATTGTAAAGAAAAATGCTTCACACACGTGTGGAGGCCTATTCCTGTATGTGTGGCCCATCCATCACAGCCAAACAGGCCCTAAAGAAATTGCATGTGCAGAGGCCCATTCTTACACGTGCGGAACCCTCGCCGTATGTGCAGTGAAAATTCTTGCACGTGCAGCCATACCTCGGGAAGCGAGCATGATGTTTTGAATGTGAGGAAAAATTGTAGAGGTATGAAATGATAGAAAAAAAAGGCTAGATTAGGGTTTTGAGAAATTGAAGGAGAAAGAGGAGGATAGGGTTTGGAAAAAGGTGATTCTCAATCTTCAAAGCAAATTCCCATAGAGGGTTTCATCTCTTCAACCTTTTCCCACTCCTCCATGAGTGGCTAGGCTCTTCTTTTCGAAGATTTTGATGAAATCCTAGCTATGTAATTAGGTTTTCTTTTTCGTTTTTTATTATGTAAATGTTTGAACAATTGTATGGTGTTTTAAAAGTTTCAAATATATATTTTCCACTATTTCTTCAAGCATTTGGTTTTCTGTGATTGTTAAATGCTTTCCATACAATGGTTTTCGTTTATTTCATATTCAAGGTATGAGACGAGCCACACTACGAGGAAGGAGTCGTTTTGCTACCCTAGTTTAGAGCGAATGACTCATACTACTTGAGACGGTTCGTTCCTATACATTGAATGCGATAATTTTCTTGATAAATGCTTCGAACTTTTAGTTGTGAAGTATTATTTAATTCGAAACGTAGCATAATTGATATCAAATTGAAACCTTATTTACGTAACTAGTAGTGAACTCATTGCCCTGCGTTTTTTCCCAAATCAGTAAATCCAATTTCATTTACAATTGCTAGTTTATTCGCTTTGTCAAAAGGATATACCGGCGTTTTTACTTTACGTCGCTGGTGTGGCCGTCGCCATATGAATAAGGTGCTTTATAAACATCGCTGATACTTGTAGTGGCGTTTTCAGAAGCGTCTGTATAATATGCAATCCATTAAAATAATAACTAATGACGTCACAGGATATAGTGACGTTTTGAACAAAAACGCCATCTTTTTTCTTTATTTCATAATTTAATTAAAATATAAAATATGTTGTTGAGCTAGCTGGTTATTTATTCACATTCCAATTTACATAAAACCATAAAGCACAACATAGCAAAAAGTAAAAATAAAAGTAGAAGATGATGAAATAAAACCATCAAATTTGATATTTGATAGAAATAAATAAATAAATATTCATAGAAGCATATTTAAGTTTTAAACTTCACCTCGATCTTTAAATAAATAAAAAAAGAAAAGAAAAGAAAAGAAAAGGGTTCTAGAATTCACCAATCAACACACTTGGATATTTTAATGCTCTTACTAAAAATAAAAAATAAAAAAATTCTTAGAAGATTTCAATTTTGGGCCTATTAAAAGAAGAAGAAAAAAAAAGGCTACAAATTCCTCTTACATCTTGAATCAGATCTTTCCCTCAGCAAAATTATCCTTTTGGCCTACAGATAAATAAATAACAGTTGCAAATTGTAATCCTTTTAAAGAAAATCTAGAACAAAGCAATAAATACTATCAAAAGCATGAAGAGATGAAAGCTAATACATAAATCATCATTATAATAAGAACATGTATAGTCCTTGCTTGTTCCAGATTTAATATAATCAAATCTGGTGCCCAAATTTCAGTGAAACCAAACAATTTTTAGATCAGACATGGTTCTAAATGATGAAAACAAAACACTAATTACCTCTGGTGCCCAAATTTCTTCATACTTGCAAGCAATTAACATTGAACTAATGCCGACCAATTGAAGCTCCCTCCTTGGGACATCATTCATTGAAAGGTACTGATCAACTATGTTAATTGTGAGGTAAAGGGTCTCAGGCATTAGTTCAAACTTCCTGTGAACCTTTGTCAACCAGTCTATGAGAATTGATCTCATCTTTGAATTGATTTCAGGTTGTGAATCCATGTAATCGTGAACTTGACTCTCACCCTACCATAATAAATTCGCATTAATGGGCAAAACATGTCGATAGACAGAGAAGGTAAAAAGATAGAAAAAATGAAGGCCAAAATAGTACCTCTATTAACTTGTAGAACTTGTAGATGTCCTCAACATACTCCACAACTGCCAATTCATTATCAACATCTACTGCATCAATGTTGCTATTGGATCCTTCAGTTTCGTGGTGGGTCCACATAATGTCTGAGGTAGATCAAATTAAGTAACAAGGAATAATATACATATACAAACAGAAAAAGTATGTACAGAGGGGAAAAAATTGATGATGAAATTGAAATTGAAATTGAGAGAAGTCCACACTAACAACCTTGCTTCGAGCAGTGAGGATTGAAGTCATAGTTTTGACCTCATTCCTAGAAGACCCAACTCGCGGCTTTCTTGCAATGACAGTGACAGGCTTTTTCTCTTCGGACTCCAATTCTTCATTAGAGCTTACGACAATTACCGTCTTTGGTTTTGGAGGATCGTAGTGCTTCTTGTGTCCAGCAGCAACTGCTGCTTTTACTACATCTCCACCATTAACAACTTCTCCAAGTGGTTTTTGCATATTTAATATAATCAACAACCTTGAAGTCCTGAGCAATTTCACGGACAAGCCTCTTGAATAGAAGCTTCCTGATTAGGAGTTCAGTACTCTTTTGGTATCTGCAAATTTCACTACACATCAATTAAGATAACAACTTACTTCACTAGTTAATAACAATAATATATATCAACATAACTTGAAAATTTATGTAACATTCTTTGTAAAAATCAAACACTGACAGAACCTAGGTTGTACAAAACCACAACTATTTAGAAAGATGAAGTCAATGTTGATTAATGTGATGGACCAACAAACATTTTTGTGTAATATTCACACTTATTTATCATTTATATTAACTTATATTTCATTTACTTTTATCTCACCTTTATATGTTGTTCAACAGAAACTTCCAAGAATCACACAGAGAGCCTCAATCAACATTTGACACCATATATGCTGGTGGGACCATCGAGAAAACTGCAGAGAATGCTCAGTCAACATTAGCCTCCATGAACTAGCGACAAATGCTATCTAAGACAAACAAAAAAGTTTATATTCGTATGGGACCCCCTAGCTTACAATTCTCCATATTCCAAGCCGTAACTAAGCTGGACATTATTTAAAAATAATTTTCCCCAAAAAAAAAAAACACCAAGAAAAACGATACCAAACATGATAAAGGTAAAAACAAGCAAACCCGGATAAGAACTACTCTATTCAAAGCACCAAAAATGACTTTCAGACTACTGTAGAGGATGACATTCAAGATTTACGAGGTTGCCTAGTTCGAAAATGGGGAGGGTGGTCTCGAGACGATCTTTAAAGGATGCTCATGTGAACTATGGCTGACGAGGACAGTTGTTTACACCCACACCCTATCTACAGACGAAGATGAGTTATTCGAAGATGAAACCATCCTTGAATCGAATATGGATACATATGGGGGAACAGAGCACCACCCAGGGAAAATAACTATAGTGGTCATTCCAAGCAAGCTGCTTAATAGTTACCATATTGATTAATGAAACCAATAGCTATTTATGTATTTTATAAATTCAAAATTTTGAATTTTTTTTTTTGATCGATTTCCAAACTCAAAACATCTAACAATATGGTGCATATCATTATACATCTATATTTTGATTAGAAAAATAAATACTTTTAAGGACTTACAAAGTTCTCATATTGGAGGATAGGGAATTTGGAAAAGAAAACGTTATCATAATATTCCCAATTTCAGGATCTTTTTTACTCTGAGAAAATCAAATCAAATCAATTGTGTACTGCAACAATCATTACAACAATAATTCATTTGTCTATGCACAGATCAAATGACAAACAAATTAGCAAAATTCCTGAATGAGAAAGTAATAAAATATATCAAGGTGGATTAGGGGCAAGGATTTGGGTATGTTATATGAACCTTGTCAATATTTGCAATGATTTCAGGATTAAGCTCCATCTTGCATGCATCCAGGACTTGTTGCAGCTGCCACAACTTTGTTGCTCCAAAAATAGCACTGGCAACAAGAGGGTGTTTCAGAACAAAGGCTGCCCAAAGGAACCAAGAGTTAATAGTTGATGAGTCAAATACATAGGGCAATGTATTTATTTCATCAATAAGCTACACCAAGAACATACCACACTATAAACAAGGGATATGAAAAATTGATACACATTAAAAAATGCATACATGACGATTTTATTGAGCTATCTAGTCTAGTGGAACTAAAAGTGAAGAGTTTTTTTTTTAAAATTTTTGGAAAAAAATCTAATTATTGTTTTCGAATTTTTTTCTTTTAAACTTTTTTGGTTCTTTTTAGATTAGACCTGAAAACCAAATTTTTTTTACACAAATCCAAAAAAAAAAAGTGACTTTTTTAGCTGGCTTTTAGTATGATCAAGTGACTTTCAAATTTCTAACCCACGAAGTATTACGCAAAGACCATTGTAAAACCTCTAAAAATTGATCAAAATATAGGGAGGCAAGCAACCATGAGTGCACCGGGGGGGAGATTGTTATCATACCAATTGCTAGAGATACAGGGTGAAGACCATATTTTCGTGCAATGTCAATATATGCCTGCAAAAAAAAACAGGTTAAGCATGCATACAATAATTATAAACAATCTTGAGCTTAATGAATGACTCCAACAAGTTGGTGATTATCATCTTTTCCAATTTTATTTTATTTATTTTTTATCATAGTCAAATACTTCACAATTTCAAGAAAAGATATTGGTATCTCCATTTTGAGTTGCTACAAAAATAAACTAATTCTTGGTGTGTGAACAATTTGCTTACTTTGGTAGCATTTTTTACAATGGTATGGAACATGTTGTATCTGGATTCCCCTGCTGAATACCTCCCTGGGCAAAAGAAATGGAGCATTGAGATAGATTCAACCTTCAAAAAGATTCAAACATTGATAGTATGCCCAATCAATGACAGGGCTAAAAATGAAAGAAATGGTTGAGAAATGATAATACATCATTGGATGAGCACATGGCAACATCCATATAATAATTTATGGTTAAAGAGGTAAATTTTTTTTGTTGAAGTAGTTTTAAATCATTGCCAAACTAGTTTGAAAGAGAGTGTTTGCTGCATTAATCCTTGAATAGAAGCAATAACTTGAAAATTTTTAAATGCACAAAATTCAATCACAAAATTGGACACAATCTTTTGTAATTAGATTATGTGTGTCTAAAATTCCTACAAGAACGTTGAAGCAATACATGAAAAGTTGAGAAAGAAAAAAGGGTTTGCATCAATCCATGTTTGCAAAAGAATAATTGAACATAAGAAATAGTAGAAACCAATTTATGGAAAGTAGTAGAAAAACCAAATGTACAAACTACAGGGCCAGATAGATGATAAGCAAGGTAAGGAATGAGGGAATTCAAGAAGACTCACCAGAGTGGAAATCAGGTGTTTACAGTGCACAAAACCCATTGTAAGAAAGAGAGACATTGCTGCTGCAAAGATTGACATAGTATGGTTGTGACGGTGGTTATGTGACTCCGTACATAAACACAATAGAGATTAGCCTCAATAGACTAACCCTAGAATTGCATACGAAGCACAAACGCAAAGATCATCACGAACGAGTCAAAAATAGAGTCGGTTTGAGAATGTTAATATGCTCATAGGGACTAAAACTTACAGATCTAAACGAAAGCAATCGATCGATCAAATCCAGAGAGAGAGTCTTCAATTGCGATCAATAGACTAAAAATCAATCAATCGATTGATCTGTGTTCTCTTTAACATAAATTAGTATATATATATATATCAAACAGATCTGAGATCGTAGATACAGATCTGAGTTCGTATATAAACAAAATCAAAAAATCAAAGAATGAGACTCACAAAATTAATCTTCAAATCAGACTGATCGAGAGCTTTGAGCCAAGATGGAGAGAACCAGATAGAGATTACGATTGTGAATCGGAGCTTACGATGCTCGATCTAGTGAACTTTCACCATAAGAAAGAGGAGTAATGAACATACAGAAAACCCTAGATCTATCTTGGGACTGAGAAAAAAGGAAAAATGAAATGGGAAATTTGGCTATAAACCGTTATTATCTTCCTTTTATTATTAAAAGGATGAAGAAAAAAATTATATTTTTAAAACCCCCTCATAATTATAAAATTTTGTATAAATGACAAAATTTATTATTTAAATGTTTTATTTGACTATTATACCCTCAACTAAATCTTTCTTAATCACCATCTCAATCTTTCAATCTTCCCTGTTGCCTCCACCTCCCACATTCCATGGCATGTACTTCGTAGTCGATGAAAACTGCTGCCACTACAGATCCAGATCCACCACCAGCTCCGATCGAAGCATGAGAATATCGATTTGAGTTTCCAACGTTCGATCCGAATATTGATCTATTGCTTCACCGTCGCGGTACTCCAGGGGGCGGTGATGGAGTTTGAACGGCTTGAGATCTTGAAGAACTCGAGTTGCATGTCATGGATGCCATTACAGCGACTCAAGCTGTTGGTGTGGTTTCCGGAGTCGATGAAGAGAACTAAATACCTTGCATAGTCGTAAGTCTCTCTCTTGGTAGGTAGCATCTTCTCTTTCTTGATAGAAACACATAACACACATAGAAAGAAAGAAAGATGATGTTGAGGTTACAAACATGGATGATTTTGTAGAAGATTTTTTTTTTTTTAATCTGGCTGTTAATCTAATTTTTTTTATTTGTTGTTGTTGATTGGAACATATAAATGTTGTTGGAAAGAGAAACAAAGAGAGGAAACTCAGATTATGATTTGTATAATTTCAACAGATAAATGTTGATGTAGAGTAAAATTTGATTCTAGTTCATTCATTTAGTATGTATTTTATTTTTTGTGACAGTAAAATTTTATTTTGGTTGAAAACATGTTGATTTGCTTAATAATATAAAATTTTACTTTAAATCATAGTAAATTTTACTCTGATTCAGAGTAAATTTTACTTTGAAATTTTATTCTGGTTAAAAACATGTTGATTTACTTAACGATATAAATTATAGTTTGAATCATAATAAACTTTACTCTGATTCATAGTAAAATTTTACTCTGGTTAAAAACATGTTGATTTACTTAACGATATAAAATTTTACTTTGAATCAGAGTAAAATTTACTATGATTCGAAATAAAATTTTACTTTGAAATGCACTGTGAGGATGGCTTAATAGGAGAGCTGATAGATATGAGGGTAATATAGTAGAAAGACAAGTTCTAAAATATTAGGGGGATTAAAAGTACATATATAATTCTTGTCCTTTTGAAAGACAAATTAGACAGTGAGGGGTCTATCACCAAATCCCCCAAATGAAAAACGCGTGGGCGTTAAAAGGGGAAATATGTTAGTAGACCAAGCATGCGTGTTTTTTTAAAATGAATTGCTTACAAAATATTTTGAAAACATTTGAAACAACGTTTTTGAAAAAACGACATAACAAAAACGTTGTTATAGGCCAATTTTCTTGTAGTGTATACGAGTAATCAATGTAAGGCCAAAAACGTAAGAAACTAGACTTATAACCGGTTCTAATAACACTAATTTGATAATTTTTCGATTTATACCCAAAGAGAAGGCACTTTTGAAGTTACTGTTTTGTAGTAGTTTTTCGGACAAATTTGAACACATTAGTTTATATGGATTTTGACTCCCAAAAATTATGAGAAAAAATTTAGAATGAAATTCAATATGTAATAAAGCTACAATAAAAATTTCAGTTCAAAATTCATCCATTTGGTATAATTCCTTGATTTTTAAAGTACGTAATTTTATGCAGAATTTAGAAATATAAACTACACCCATTATTTTTCATCACCAATCACTAACTTGGCACCCAAACAAGACACCTGTTTCTCCTATTCCTTCCCAACAACAAGCAGATTACAGGCATGGAACATCACAATATATAAATATAATAAAATATGACAATACCTTGGAATTGTTGACCCACCAATTTACTAAATCTCTCTCTCTCTCTCTCTCTCTCTCTCAACACTTTTCTGCTATTATCCTCACAAGGTTGCACCTCTCACCACTTAGGGACCAATTTCGATTGCAATAGTATAATACAAAACCCTAAATAACACATCCTCCTAATCAATTTATATTTCGGTAAACTACTAATAAGTCTCAATAGTTGGACTTAATTCCTATAAAGTCCTATTGAAAATAAGTTTTGGTAAAATTGTCGCTAAAAATAATTTTTTTGTGACAATCTTTTATATATGTCGCTAAAAATTGATAATTAGTGATTTTTTTTGGTCATAATTTTTATAAATTATCGCTAAAACTTACAATTAGTGACTTTTTTTATGACAAATTTTTTCCATAGAACCTATTAGACAATAAGTCTACTTATCAGGACCAATACGTAAGTAACCCTTTATATTTCACGTTTATCACTTTATTATTATTGTGGACTTTCATAATAATTTTATTTATAATTTACAATTAATTAAAATACCCTCCAATAATATTTAATTTACACTTTAATAATCACCATCAAAATATTTGAGACTTGTAAAATTATTATTATATAATTATTTATTTTATTTTTATATTTAGGTTCTCAAAAGAATTCTGCAAACCATTAGCCATTAGAAGTACTAACTTAATACACAAATAGCAAATATAACTATTAACAACAGTGATAGAGATCACTAATTTTGAAGCTCTAAAAAGATCACTAATAACATGGCACTCAATAAAAAAAGAAAAAAAATACAATACTAAAGTCAAAATATCAAATCATTCCTGGTGAGGTCCACTGCCACATCATTAGTGATAGCACTAATTAGTGCTCTCACTCATTTTTCAACTATTAAAATGAATATGCTTAAGTTCCTTACCAAAATAAAAAATGTTTTAGATAATCACAAGTTTTCCTTATTATTAATTTTCCCATTTCATTTGCAACAATGCTTTTAATATCTATAACCAGCATGATATATGCTGACAAAAGCAAAAAATCAAAATGAAAATGGAAATAATGGCTTATGAAATGAATGTGGAAGTACGTACCCGGTCGGAATTTATGGAAGGAATCTTGTTATGAAATGAATGGGGAAGTATGTACCTAATTGACAATTAAGGAAGCAATCATGTTAGACACACACTAAGAGTTCTAATAATTGGTCTCCTATTAAGCAAAAAAAAGTACTTGAAAAATTAAAACAGGCTGGAGAAGAGTGGAACGCGAACAATAGCCTGTGTAATGCTTTTGGAAATATTCTATTAGAGTTTATGTCGAGGAAATTACCTGAATCAAAAGATTAGGTCATGGTTGGCTACTCTGCATACTGTGTATGAAAATTAGAAAACTGTGCTTTACGGAGAGTGACTTGCTCAAAGATCACTTCAGAATCTATAAATACAAAAGGGACACAAGCAATCTTATGCCAGTCATGTCCCTCCTCCTCGAGGCAACGGAAGCCCTTCTTCTGGCAAGAATTGGAGTTGAGGACATTTTTTAATCTTCAATTTTTTGAGAGAACCAAGGAGTTGAAGGCCGTTCTTGTTCAACGACTTGAGATTTGATAGATATCCAATGTGGAGCGTTATGAGAGTCGAGGGCAGCAACCCCTCTTCCGGAAAGGACTCCACCCTATCTTCTGGAAAGAACTCCATCCCATCTTCCGGAAAGGACAAGCCGTCATATTCACCGGTTAATGTGAAGTGTCTAAGAGAGGGAAGTCTTTGCAAATTCCACTCTCTTCGATGAGCCGTAAGTTTGCTACAATTCCAGATTTCAAGTGAACTCAAGTTGGAGGGCAGCCCACCTTCTGGAAAAGACTCAATTTCTGGACAATTATATAAGTCTAGTGATTTAATAGATGGGAGAAGGGTATGCATTCCTTCTCACAGCGACTTGAGTTTGTAGCAACCATAGATCCAAAAGTTGGTCAGATTGGGTAAGGGTAATCCTCCTCGGGGAAAAGATACTGTAGCAACCATAGATCCAAAAGTTGGTCAGATTGGGTAAGGGTAATCCTCCTCGGGGAAAAGATACTGTGGGAGCCGAATATTGTGGGGGCAATAATGCCGAATAACGGTATGAGGACAGTTAATGACGGAATTTTTATTTGGCATTGGTCCTAGACAATCGCAGAGTCGAATAGACTAATTAAACGGCATTCCAACCAGCCGAACAAAAGTCGAATAAATGAACGTGTAATGGATTAAGGGTGGGCTCGACCTTAAGGCCCAAAGGGAAAAATATAAATAAAGGAGCATCAACCAAAGAAAGGTATGTGAGAAAAAGTTTAACTTGAGATATAAGCAACCAAGAGAATATACACTGACTTATCCGTCAGAGTGCTAATTCTGACACCTCCGACCGGAGTGTTCATTCCTTTTCAAGTGATTAGCTGAGGATCACGAGCGTCCTACAAGATCCAAAGAGTATTTCCGAACCACTTCTCCACAATTAGCGCCGTCTATGGGAATACTCCAGCACATCCATGGTGGGCGTGACAGAAGATCCTCTGGTAGTCGCTGACGACCTTATGCCACGAGTTGATACCACTCCAAGCAACATGCTTGGGCTAGAGAACATTGCTGCATGAAGGGCCTTAAACTTCGACTCAGTTGCCCAGACCTCACCCGCGACATCAGCACTTGAGACAATGCAAGCGATTATGGATCAGGCGAAGCAAAATGAACAGAGGTTGGAAAACATGATGCCTAAGAACCAGCGCCTCTGACAGGATTTGGCCTTGGAGGTGGCAAAGTCCCAACATGCCGCACGCCAAGATCCGAGATGACCTCTGCGAAAGGATGGTCGACGACCTCGAATTTGGAGACAAGATAGTAGCAGTGATTTTGACTCATCATCCCCAGAATCCAAAAAGAAGGAACGAGTCGAAGCCTCCAGTTCTTCCGAAGGGAGTCCGCTTCCACGGATTAAGCGAAGAAGAAATGATTCAGACGAAGAGGACCAACATGACCCCTTTGTGCGACGGATCGCAAGGGCAGTACTACCCAAAAAGTTCAAAGCTCCATCGTTCACCCTATACGATGGAAAATCGAATCCCACTGATCACATTCGTCATTATAAGCAAGCCATGACGCTGCATGCAGACGACGAGGCCCTCATGTGCCGAATATTTTCGAGCAGTTTGGGACCATTGGCCATCAGATAGTATTATAAATTGGAATCGGCATCGATTAAGAGCTTCCAGCAACTCCAAAAATCCTTCAAGACAAGGTTCATCACCAATGAGGTCCAGCCAAAGCAAGCCGATTCTTTCTGGGTAATGCAAATCCAACTAGGGGAAACCTTACATGCATATTCGGCATGCTATTGGGAATGCTTTAATCTCGTAGATGATGCCTGCAATGACTCCATGGCCATCACTGCCTTTAAAATGGGGTTGCATCCTGATAGTGCCCTCCGCAGCTCCTTGACTAGAAGGCCCCCCAAAACAGTCTGGTCGTTAATGATGAAAGTCGAGGAATACTGCAAAGTGGAAGATGACGCCTTGCGGGTCAAAACTGGGCACAAGGCCAACAAGATGGCACCATCTGAAATCGTTCAGCCGATAAATTCTATACCATCACGGAGCCTTGAACCACTGAATTGGGCTAAATGAGACAAAATACGAGATTCGCGCCGATCAAATGGCCAATGTTCCCACTGAGCTAATGAACAACTTCAAGTGGATAGCAGGAGCACAAGGCGCACGAACAAGAAATATACGGGGTTGTCAGAGCTGATCAGCACGGTTATGTCTAAAGTTCAACACCTACCGTTCTTCAAATGGCCACCCAAAATGGTGGGACCTCCCGACACGAGGAGACGGGATAGGCGATGCGAATATCACAAAGACCACGGTCATGATACCAACAGTTGTTATGCGTTGAAGGATCACCTTGAGGAGTTGGTACAAGACGGTCGGCTTAAGCAACACGTCCGAAAGAACAACTCAACCAAAACAGTTGCTCTACGGCAAGATTCACCTCCACTCGGCGTAATCCATATGATATACAGCTTGCCGACGGCATCCGCGATACATACAATTCAGTCGCATCCTAACCCCTAAAAGCAAATCACACTGGTGAAACGGCCCCATGAAGCTGAGAGTATTACTTTCGATGATTTTGATTTGGTCGGTGTAACGCTCCACTACATTGATCCCTTGGTCATCGAACTATGCATAAACCAATTCACTGTTGAACGTGTTCTCATTGGCCAGGGGAGTACTTCAGAAATTATGTACTACAAGACCTTCATCAAACTCGGTTTCACTGAGTCGGACCTATCTCCAGCTCATTATCCGTTATTCGGCTTCAACGCTAACACGGAATGTCCGTTGGGCAAAATTACGCTACCAGTTCGAACGGGCTCCCGATTAGTGGATGTGGAATTTTTGGTTGTCAAGCTTCCTTCGCCGTATAATCTCATCATGGGACGAACTTGGCTGCATACCATGTAGGCCGTGCCAAGCACCTATCATCAACTACTTCACTTCCCAACTGAACGTGGCATTGAAAAAATTTGTGGTTCCCAGAAATCGGCACATGCATGTTATCTTCTTGCCGCAAAGACACCAAGAGAGCTGGAAGTGAATTCAATTGAGGTGCCGGATCGAGAGAGCCTCGACGATCTTGGGCGGCTCCCATGTGAAAAGGAAACCGAAGCCTTGGATCGAGTTAAAATTGACGGGAATCCTGGCAGGTTCTTCATGGTCGGTGCTTCCCTGAATAAAGTCGACAGACAGTAGCTAATTTCCTTCTTACTCAGCAACCTTGATGTATTTGCGTGGTCACCATATGAGATGCCAGGAGTGGATCCATATGTTTCTCAGCACCGTTTAAACGTTGATCCCAAATGTAAGCCAATTATTTAGAAAAGCCGGCAGTCAGCCGCAGAACACACTGTTGCTGTTGTTGAAGAAGTTGACCGGTTGCTTGATGCTGGGGCAATCCGGGAAGTGACCTATCCTACATGGCTGTCGAATACTATGGTTGTAAAGAAGAAAAATGGGACTTGGAGTGTTTGTATGGATTTCACGGACTTAAACAAAACTTGTCCCAAGGATTGCTTTCCCCTCCTCAAAATAGACCAACTCGTAGATGCCACGGCACATCATCAACGTATGAGCTTATTGGATGCCTACAGAGGCTACCATCAAATTGCTATGCATCCGGAGGACCAAGACAAAACTGCATTCCTCACCTCAAGAGGAACCTATTGCTATAAGGTTATGCCTTTCGGGCTGAAAAATGTGGGGGCAACTT